AGCTATCTTCCTTCTTTTTTCCCTTTGAGAACCAAGGTCCGAGACACACGCACCGCTTTGTTAGCCAGGCACCGCACGGCGCTGGTTGCAAGTTATGACCATTATTCTCTATGACTATGACCCAAATTATTGTTTAGATTTATTTATTATACAAATGTTTACAGCATTGGAAAACATAATACATTTTTGTTTGACCTCTTGCACAGCATATATAAAAAAAAAAAAAAAAGATTTTCATAAATTTTTGAAAAAGATCCAGGAAGCTGCAAGGGGGATGCTAAAGAGCCGCATGCGGCTCCGGAGCTGTGGTTGCCGACTCCCGCACTAGGCCAACACACCCACCTTACTCCCCTCACTGACTCTGGATAAAAGCTTTGTTTAATTCAAGGAAACCGACTAATTTAAATGAACTTCACCAATTCTGACAGAAATAGTGTTTGAATATCCAACAGAATGAGCATGTTACCTCATGACATTAACCCTACACCTGTTTGCTTGAGTGTGTGTCTTTTATATATGTAAATATGTATGTTTAGATTCTGGAAATTCTGGAAAAGTTTTCTGCAGCCCAAGTGCTCCTTTATTCATGAGATCTCTGTTGGGGAAAATCCCCAAAACCCTGAGACAGATACATTTAAATACGACAGTTTATAGACTACATTCAGTTTGATTTGCATGAGACATGAGCAACACAAACAGGATCTAGACCTGCATGATCAGCAGACGGCTTTAGTTTTAACTTCTTCTGATTCTCTGCTGACCCTTTTACAGCTCATGCGTCTTTTCTTTGTTTTTTTTTTTCACCTCCTTCATCTACAGCATCACAGCTACTGCCTTGATGAGGCTGTCTGAAGGTTGAATTTTTGTAGGATGGATTTTGTGTTGGTTGTGAAGCTAACTGACTGATTCACCTTCATTCTGCTGATGCTTCAGTCTCATTGTAGTTTCCCAGTGTGGTCCCCATCAGTGGGCCGCTGTGCTCGGTCCAGTTGGACGAGCCTCTGAACAGTACGGTCCCTTCAGCTCCACAGGCTTGTCCTCTGTTTGCCGTCTATGTGTTCAGCCTACACAGCTTACGTAACGTTAAAGGGACACAAAGGAGCGTGGAGGCCCAGTCATGCATCGCCAAGGGAAGTGAGAGTGCGAAAAAAAGCATTAACCCTGAATAACCAACAGATGTTTTTTTTTTTGTTATTAGACATTTCTCTACTCAGTTGTGCTGCTTTCTAGAGTTTGAAGTTATTTTTTATTTGTGTTGTTTTTAATACTTTGAAATTCACAGCGGTCTAATAAAAACAAACAATAAAAAAACATTTTTATTGGGGGGAAATAAGGCGAGGAACTCTCTGTTTTGCTGTTTTTCTGTGAATTCCATTCATCGCATGTCTTTGGTATTGATTTTCTGAAATAGGATGAATTTGATATTGCAGGGTTTTTATTCTACTGACAGAAACGCATAAATTAATGCTTATCCATTCTAAAGTGAAACTTTACCGCCTGCAGCTCAAATTGGCTGTTAATCCTGGAAGCTGCTGCTGGGGGTTTGACTCCTAAACCCAGTATTTCTTTCCTTTTCTTCCCGTTTCGTGTCTTAAAATTGTAAACCGTGTCCTCTAATGCCACTTAATGAAAAAAATAAAAAAAATTAAATAAAATCTAGGTTTAAATGTAAAAGTATTGGAACTCAGAAAATTATTACCTAATGATTTGTGGAAGTTACACTCAGATACACCCTAATAAAACCCAAAAAGGTAAACATTCTGCTTCCCACTCTACAAGAAAACCTCTTGCTCATCAGCTGATGTAGTGATATCTGGTTTTATGTTTTCTTTCTATTTCTTTAACCAGGTTGAAAACATCCTTCTGAACGACCAGGGAAACTACGTCCTGTGTGACTTCGGCAGCTCCACTCATAAGATCCTGTTGCCTCTTAAAGACGGAGTGACGGCCGTGGAGGATGAGATAAAGAAGTAGGTTCCTGGACTTCTCCTTAATGTCACCTTTCTATTGTTTCCCTGTGAGATTAAAGCTCATTTATATATCAGGTCAATATACCTGATTATCATTGAAAATGACATTTTTCTGTTAATTATTTCAAAAAGTAAAACTAGCATATGGATACATCACACAGGAAAAGTTTTAATACTAAATAATTAAAACCCAAAGTTTAGTTTCTCTTATAAAAAGAACAATAAATTAGTTTTTGATGAGAAATCTTCTGTGCATTATCTTAATAAGTGTGGGCATGACCTAATGTTTGCAAAGGGATGAATAGCAGCATTTTAATGAAAAAAACTTCAGTCTTTAATAAAGACTGAAGGTGTGAACTGAAGCTGTGGTTAATGCTTCAGCTGCATAGGCTGGGCAATAAATACCATAAACATTTTTAATAGGCTTTATTTTAGAAACCTTTTTATTTGATTTCTTGCAACGTTCTAATGATTTAGGTGCTTGGATTTGGGGTTTCCGTTAGTTTTTATTGATGAACTGTAGCACAGGGAGCAGATCCTGGCAACCTCAGAATACTCCGAACAATCCTGCGGCTGCAAACACAACCTTATTGACCCTTTGCAAATCGTGGTTTATCAGGTGGTTACTGCTGCTTGCTCACTCTGCTGCTTTCCATTGTATTCATATTTACAGAGAGTAAAATCTCAGAAGGCTGGTCAGCTCTGGCCTGTTGGCTTTCCCACATTTACAGCAGGAATAAAGTGCATCGTGTGGTGCTTATCAGCGGTTTATGGCTGTGTGTAAACCTGTCCTCTTCATGGTATTATTCAGATAAAAACCATCAGGGTTTTCAGCTGTGGTTGTGAGGACTCTTGCAGATCTTTGCTGTATATAAACCCTTTAAGGGTTGACATTTCTATTTAAAGATATCTGTTAAGGTAAAAATCATCAACAAGCTAAGCTCTATCTCCACCCTGCTGTTTTGGGCTATTTCCAAAGTCACTGTGCTTCTTTTGAGCAATAAAAAATCACTAATAAATGAACTCACCTGCCTTAAGGGCTGGTTATCCTCCTGCAGCAGTGTGTCGCAGTGAGCTTGTCGCATTTATTTTTGATTTATGCCCAATTTTGAAGCATGGTCTGCTCTATGTTTTTACACGCCACAACGCAAAAGGGACAATCACGCACCAGCTGTGGGTCTAGATACGATCGAGGCAGTGAGGAAGTTTGTGCGACAACAGAGGGATGTGAGGGTGAAAAAGAGCGGGGATCCAGGTGGAAAAAGGGTCCCAGCGTTCTTGCCCACCTCGCTCTTCCAGCTGATCCAACTTCACAAGTCGTTTTCCACAGTGGCGGTCATACAAACACACACACAGATGACCTGGTTTCTGAGTATAAATCAGCCTTTATATTGAACATTACAGTTACCTTTAATGTTTTTACCTTCTATTTGTTTCTACCCAGAGCGATTCTGCACAGCTCAACATTTCTATTTATTATTTTTTCTATCTTTGTTTCTGGGATTGTTGACCAGAATGTTTAGGAAATCATCTTCACCCTTTAATTGCAGTCATAATCTTTTCTGGATATTTGTGCACCATAGGAAATAGAATGGATGATTTCATGGTGTCCCTTGTGACCGCATTAGAAAGTTTCAGTTTAATAAGCAGACCCAGTCATCACTAAACCCTAGAGATGCTCACAGATATGAGACTAGAAAGCTGTAAGCAAAGTCAACCACTCACTACATGAGATGCTAAACGTTCACTTTTGGCTTTAAAATCGAAAACCACTGAAATGATGTGCAGTTTGGTTGTTTCAGCACAAATTTATAAATCTTTACACATTTATCTTTTAAAACATGGAGTCAAAGATAAGACTGATAATGATTTTTCAAATGCTTTTCAAGTTTCAGAGCTAGGGCGGTTCTGTGTCTGCTGAACCTTTTCCGTCGTTTTGGTTCCTTAAAAACTTTAGAAGAGAGACAGGCCCACAGCATCACAGATCCTTCACCATACTTGACAGAAGGTGTCAGGGTTTTGCTTAGACAGAAGTTGGCTACTCATTTCCTATTTAACTGCTGTGTTGTCCTTTCTTATCCATTTAGAACAGCAGCTTTGACAACTAAGCTTGTTTCACATCATATTTTTCAGGAAACAGTCATGGCAAGACTTTAAGAAAATGATAGAGAATACATTTTATATATTGTTTGATTTATTTTATAGGAATTCCTAGTGATGTCATTAAGTGCAATAGAAAAACAATCATTTAAAATGAGATTTTCTTCCGCCACACTTAATAGATGTGTTCAAATGTTGGATTTTTTTTCAGCATTAAACACTTGAGAGGATGATTTTTTTTTAAGATTGTTTAGTCATCTGTGCCGTGTTGACCGGATCATCTGATGCACGACTCTCTGCAACTCTTGTTAATTTAAAGTCATTATTGTAAAAGGAGAGGATTTACTGTTGTGATGTTGACCCCGAAAGTTGGAAAGTACTGGATTTAAACCTGCTGTCGTCAGCACATCCGTACTTGGATGACGTTTCTTTGTAGTGGCCAATAAAAAAGTTCAAAAATGAAACAGCAGCATTCTTTTGATCAACAAAAAGAAGAAAAACTGCAACAAAAAATATGTTTAAAAAAGATCAGCAACAGTGATAATAGATAATGTTGTAACAGAACCATAAATATTAATTTCTTTTGAGGCTTCATTTGTTTCTCTAAAAATTTCATTTTGTTATTGGTGCTTATATGAAGCAGATCAGGCTTCATGGTCAAGAATGTCTTCAGGTCAGTTTTGCTTGGAGATCAGAGATAAGTGAGAAAACAAGGCTGAACGTTGACCCGTCACTGAAGGTTTCCTGTTGCTGTATCTCCCAGGTACACAACCCTCTCATATCGGGCCCCGGAGATGATTAACTTGTACGCAGGAAAAGCCATCACCACTAAAGCTGATATCTGGGTAAGCTCTGACTCTGTGTATCTCTAGTGTAACCATGTGATTGGTTCCTGGGTGTCACTCTGACCCAACAGGTTCTTCCTCTCTCCACACACCCTGGGCCTTTTACTGACTCCTGTTCTCTGACAGCCTCTCCTCCATTAAGCAGCAAACCAAAGCTCTGTCTGTTTTATCTCTGCCTCACCGTTTTCTCACTTTGAGATCAGGAGGCCCAGCCCTTCATATGGTTTAAAAGGTGCAAAAACAAAGACAAACCGGGCTTCTAAAAAGTATGCAGTGCATATGGACACTGTTTGTTTTGCAGCTTTGCATAAGAGTAGAAAATCCCCCCCATGTTTCTCACTTCCTGTTCTTTAGCCACGTTTAGAAATTGAACAAACATTCTTTGCTTCCACTGACTTGAAGTTTTGTGTCAGATTTGTTGAACAGAATCATGGAAAATATAATTCCTCTATAATTTCTGAGGCTGTTGCCATCTGTTTACCAAAGGTACATGTAGCTGCTTCCAGATAAATAAAGAGCAACGACTTTCTGCATGTGGATTCATCTTTCATGCCACAGCGACATAAATAACATTTCTTCTGTGCTGTGAAGCTCTTTGCTGATGCATGGAAAAAGCTTCCAGCTTCAGTTATGCAAATGATTTCATAAAGTATGTAAAATCTGGTTGCCTGCACCACTTCTGATTTAAGCCTTTCTGTAATCACACACAGCAATCAAACATTTTAATCACACATTAGAGATCTCATTCAGAATCAATACAGGCTGTTAATTGAGAAAGTATGGATTTTGTTTAGTTAATTGGATAGCAGCGTTGGTGTAGCATGTTTAACAAACACTTCTTTCAATAATGCCGCCATATTACCGGTATTTATTAAATAGCACCTTAACAAACTGAACTAATGGATTAAGCCGTACAAGATTGTATAAACATGCTTTGTTCAATAAAGGGGCATTACTTTACTTTGAGTAGGTTGTGTCTGTTTTAAATTATTGCCCAGAGTTGAAGAATATTCTGGGCTTTATTTTCTGTTGCAGTTTCTAATAAGTTGCAGTGACTGGTTATTAGAATAGCTTTATTTGATCGTATTGATTTGGATAGATTCAGATTTTCATCCAATCAAACTGAGTCACTCTGCCACCTACTGACACATACTTCTACCTGCTTTATGTTTCAGGATGTGAAATGTTTTCTCTGCAATAGCTATGTCATATAAAAGGCTTCTCTTCAGGGAATCTTCAGGTTTATGCATTTTTCTCACTTTTGGTCAAGTAGAGGAAGCAGAGAGTGGTGAATGATAGAGAATGTTTCCACATTATTTCATATTCCGTTGCTTAAAAAAATATGCCCGAAGATGACAGGCATCCATTAAATGGCTTTATTTTGTTACTTACCTGTCCATCTATTCATCTATCAGATATTCATTTATCCATCTTCAGTTTTTTGTCCATATTTAAAGCTTGTCCCTTCTGGAAATGTCTTCTATAACATCAGAGCTGCTTTATTTACATTTATGAAAACAGCAAAGATCTGAGTAAACTTTAATCTGGCAAATTTAGACTTGATTAAGTAGAAACATATTTTTCTTTTTTTATTATTTGTTTCTGTAATCACGAACATGTTGATAACTGCTGCAGATCCCATCCAGGGTGTTTTCAGATTAAAGATGTTTTTCTGAGAAGAGATGTGATCTAACTGCAGCTTACGTTTGATATGACTGATCTCTAATTGATGACCTCGTTTGGGACTCGCAATAAGCAAATAATGGATGCTTTGTTTTTAATGGATTGCCTGTTTCTCCACAGGCACTCGGATGCTTGTTGTACAAGCTGTGTTTCTTCACACTTCCATTTGGGGAGAGTCAGGTGGCCATATGTGACGGATCCTTTATCGTCCCGGATAACTCAAAGTTCTCCACCAAGTTGCACTGCTTGATCAGTAAGTCCAGAAGCAGACCCACCACGGTCTGGACGATTATTGCGACTCTGATCTGATTAATCTCTCTCTGTTTACACAAATCTGTTTCTTCTACTCTGATTGTCTATTATAATGAGTGGAAGTCTGAAATATTTCCACTGTTTGAGCTGCTAAGCAATTCAACTGAAATTATGCAACCACAGTGATGTGGTGTGGTGTCGAAACATTTTGCTTTCTTCTCTCTCATTAGCTGGATTGTTGTTTGGGGGGGGGGGGGGGGGGTGTTTACAACATCTGCAGCTGGTTCGTGCTTCTTTGTTCTTTTTTTTGCACAACTTGTTCCTGTTTGAACCAGTCGAGGGCTGTCAGTCAAGACCGGGTCCTTTGAATTATTTCACTTCCCTAAACTGGAGCCTGCTGCTCAGTTTGTCAACTGAAATTTGGTGCAAAGGCTCCCCCATGTGGCGAAAGACATGAGCTGCATGTTAATAAACACACTTCACTGTCTTTCAGGATATATGCTTGAGCCGGACCAGGAGAAAAGACCAGACATCTACCAAGTGTCCTACTTTGCCTTTAAATTAGCTGGAAGAGACTGCCCAGTCCCAAACCTCTCAGTGAGTAACATCAGTAAACATCAGATGGGGTGTTTGTAATATCTGCAGTGGTTGACTGGGTCGGTTTTCCTTACTTTTTCCAGAACTCTCCCATCCCAACATCTCTTCCTGAGCCTCTAACAGCCAGTGAGGTGGCTGCTAAGAAGAGTATGACTAAAGCCAGGTACGTTAACTTTTCATTCCTTCCTCCTTTAGAGGAAGAGTTTTCTATCCAGGTTGATTTATTGCAGGAAGCAAAGATGATATGCAGTTTGGAAAAGTCTTAATGATTTTAAATCTCCATTTTTCTAAATCCGGTCACTCCTGTGATCAGTTTTGTTCTTATTCCTTTTCTTCTTTGTCTCCTTTTAGTTTATTTTTTTCTTTCTTTATGCCCTTCCTTGCCTCTTTTTCTTTCTATCTCCTCAGTTCCCTTCTTCCTTCCTTCCTGGTGTACTTCCTTCTATCATTCCTTCCTTTCCCTTCTTTGCCTGTCATATCAAGTTAAGTTTTGCACAGAGAATTTTTAAGAATCATGCAACGACAATCAGATGTGAAAAGAAGGTGACTTTTTGATTGTCTCCATTTTTCTCCAGGATAACCGACTCCGTGGGTCCAACAGAAACATCCATAGCTCCCAGGCAGAGGCCGAAGGCTGCAAACAGCAACGTCCTGCCTCTCCCCAACACAGTCACTCCTGTCAAAATGACCGTGCCTTCAGCACCCGTCAGCAACGGCCAGAAAGGTCCGTCAGACTGTTTTCTATATACGGTGGTAGCCATTAAAAATCTCCCCACTTTCCTTGATGGTCCCTTGGCTGCTATCCTACAGTTCCTTTTTAAACATCAATCTTTGACAAAAAAATTATTTCTGTCATGATTTGTGGACATTGCAATCTAAAGAGAAGCTCCATCTGCTGGTCAGACCCTGTAATTCATGAAAGGGTGGAGTCATATTAAAACAATGTATACAAGCCCAGGAGAAGGCCAGTGGCAGGAAGTTGAATGGGATTTTGCTGGGAGCTGCAGGGAAGTGGGCTGTCATTCGTTGGACTGGGGAGGGACATATTGAATGGCTGCTACTGTACCAACTATTTCCCCATTTAATAGCTTTATACCTTTGGTTGCATCTTGTAATCATATGTAAGCTTTGTTTTAGGATGCAGCTTTATGTTTTTTTTTGTTTGTTTTTTAATCAAACTCTTTATATTAAAGTGAGATCCTTGTTTAGTTTTAAAGTAATAAATGGTCCTTGTGTCTGTTCAGCTCCCACTCCTGGATCGGGGCAGCCGACTGTGCAGACGGCGCCCAGCAGCCAGCAGCACCGCGTCCTGCAGCAGCTGCAGCCTGGGGACCTGCGTCTGCAGCAGCTTCAACAACAACAAGCAGTGCAGCAGCAACATGCTAATGCTCAGCATCTGCAATACTTGCAGGTAATGTTGAGTTCAAAACTATATCGGTTCATCATTGACTGACCAGATCAATGATGATCAATGATGGTTTTCTAGAAATATTACTTCTTGCATTGCAAAATGTACCAGTAGGTGTGGTAGGGTATTAGAATAGTATTAATGTGATGCAGGCTGATGGTTCAGGCTGAATGCTTCCTGATAGGAGTGTGTTACACTAATAGCCTTGTGGTGAACTCATTCCATAAGTTCATTGATTTTGCAAAGGCTGTGGATGTTTTACATGCAGGTTATGTGCGCTCCTCATTAAAATCTGGGTACGATAGGTCGTTTTCTCTATAGACTTTTGTTACATTTCTGATTAAGCAGGAGGAGCACTTAAAGTGTCACCAAAACTAAGCTTTAAGGGTCTCAAATGCTTTGCAATGTAAACCAAAAACAGAGACTCTAAAAAAAAATGTAATTTATCGTCCTATGTGGTCAGAATAAATAAACATTAGTCAAGACTCAGGCAATAACTATTGGATAGACCGTGCCCATCAGTGGGGAGTTTCACGCGTACCAGCAGCAAAGGGACAGACAATAGAAAGTTGTAGATTCACACTTAGAAAGACAGACATAAACAAACAAGCTAAAGAAAAGCTGAAGAAAAAAAACATACCTTAATTTGGGCTGAACGATTTTGCAGAAAATTGTTCAAATTGCAATTATTTTCAACCAATATTGCAATATTATACCAATATTTTTATTATTTAAAAGCTTCCATGTCCAAAGTCCATTTTTGCAAGACTTACTGTAGCCTGTGTGTGGAAAAATAGTTCACTTCAACTTGCATGCAAATATCTGCATGCCACCTGGAAGCTTCTGTTTTCTGTTTTGTGGAAGGAAGCCCATTATAAACATATATTACCACCTATTGAAGGGCTGGAATGGAAAAGAAAATCAGTCTCTTAGTCTTGTTAAATGTAACGTGACCTAAACAGGGCCTCTGCAATTTTAAAATTGTTTTGTTTTTAATGCAAATACAATTAATTTCCCAGCCCTGCCTTAAAGTTACTGTATAGTATAACAAGGGTTTCGCTGTGTAGGTTAATTAAAAGATGTTAAAACTGTGCAGGTATGTTGGTGCACAGGAACAGCAACAAGCTATTTAAAAGAATGACAAACTGTCAATAACAGCAGATATGTACAGAGATGAGTCTGTTGGAGCACCGACGGTTAGAAAGTGTTAACAGCAGCTGGGAGGAAGCATCTGTGATATCGCTCCTTTGTGCACCTGGGGTGCAGCAGGCTGTCTCTGAAGGAGCTCTGCATCAGCTTCATGCTTGGGATGAGAGACGCTGTCAAACAGTGATGCTATTTTAACTCCACTCCTTCTGTCTCCTCCCACCTACAGTGACCAGGGGGCCTCCTGAGACAGAGCTGAGGGCTGGTTCATAAAACTGGCTTAGTTGGCCCAGTCTGGCTTGTTTTGTTGTTGTTTGTTTTTTTTTTTTTCATAAAAACCTTTCATCATTTTCATAAAGCTGCCTCACTCTGAGGTTTACTCGGCTGAAACACATCTACAGATATGTTACTGATTTACCTAACTGAACACCAGCTCTCCCACAAACATGGAATCATAACCTCACTGCTGCTTCTGTCCCAGTAGGGGAAAGTTTGGTGGGGGCAGCCCTCCCTCTATCTAGGTCACGCTTTCATTTTGTTTTGTTTTTTTTTGCAGCTGCAATATGATTATATGGCTATTTGAAGGTAAAAATCTGGCCTAGATTTCACGTCTGAATCTCAGCGCTGGTGTTACTTCTGACAAAGTTAAATGTTGAGGAAAAAAAGTTAGTTTTGTCAACGGCAATATTCATATTTTTTCCCAGTCAAATCCAGATTCTTGTTGACTAAAATGGGACTAAGTTAGGGCTGAAACAATGAATCGGATTAATCGTGATTAATCGATGATTGAAATAATCAACTAATTTAACATTCAATTAATCATTAACTGGAGTATAGAGACTCTATAACATGCCTTTAGCTGACAGAGCGACCCACTTAGAGCAGTAATTATACCAAATTGTAAAAAAAATATATAAACATTTTGAATTTAAGATAAAAAGATTTTTTTTTGTCCGTCAATATGCTCTATCCAGAACTCCTGAAGTGGAAAAGTTTAATTTCGCCTGGTTTGATTTTGTAAAAAATCTTCTTCAATTAACCGTTGGCAATACGATTATTAATTGAGTAATCTAAAAAAATAGTCGAATTAAAACAGATTAATTGATTTGCAAAATAGTTAGTTGCAACCCTTGACTAAATCTTAATTAGAAACAGTTCATAGGACTAAAACTATGATGAAACTAGACTAACTTATTAAAAAGTTGTTGAAATTGATTCTGATTGAATATCACAAAAAGTTAAATTAATCTTTGAAAATAGCGTTTATGATGAATGTAAAAAATTAAACATCAACGAAATAAACCTGTCCCATTATAAAAAAAAATAAAAAATGTTGCATCAATGCTGAAGAGGAAAATTCCTTGAAATGGGCGTTTTACAAAAAATGGGCTTATAAAACTCTTGCCAGGTGCCAGAAGCTGGTTTCTTTTGTGATTCAGATGTCTGCACCTTTTTATTTTGTTTCATTTCGTTTTTTCTCTCCCTTTCTTTACATAAACAAATGTAATAATTTGTCGTCAATGTTTGATGTGGAATATAGTGGGAAGTTTTCCCAGAGCTTCTGCATGTATGGAAATAAAAGCCGTTATATAAACTTTATGCTTTATGGACTGCAATAATTTTACTCACGATTTCAATTTAGAAGTTTTAGCAGAAATGATGGACAGATCCACACTTTTTATCTTAAGAGATATCTTAGAGATGCTGAAATGTTTGTCCAACATCTGTCAGTACCAACAGGCAGTGCAGCAGTCCCTGCAGCTTCAGCACCAGCAGGCTCTGCTCCAGCAGCAGCAGCAGCAGATGATGATGCAGCCCATGTATCAGCAGCAAGTCGCTCAGGCCCAATATGCTGCCTTGGTGAGTTGTGCCAAAGCAAAGATCCGTGATCTCCTTCCTATCGGAGATAAACACCCATCAGAATGAGCTTCTCTTTTTGTCCCGTTAAAGCTTTCTATCTAAGTCACGACAGAACTTCAGGGCAGATTTCACCCAAAACTGCAGTAAATAGTTTGATCAAATGACAGTGAAACACATGGAGGCGCAGCATGAAATATCACCGAGCTGCATATTTCATTTAATGTCAGAATGGCTCGAGTTTGCTTTTCTCTGCTCCCAAAACTGGCAGCAAGTCCTCCTTCACTCAAATCTCCCCCTGTCTGTGCCAAGCAGCATCAGAAACAGACGCTCAAACTTCCTACTCCGTCTCTCCAAACATTGAGCGAACTCGTATTTACGCAGCTCCTGAAACCAAACACACAAACACAGGTCTCCCAAATGTGCGGCGTAAGGGCGGCGCAATTTTTAGCCCATCTCTCCCACCGAACACGCACCATCTGCTTTATTTCAGAAGCAATCTGGTCTGAAAGAAGCCACCAGGGGATGGAACAGAGGGTGGAAAATCGAGCGCTTCCGTCGGCGTTTTGTACCGACATACGAAGCGGTTCACAGGAAAGGGGAGCAGAGCATCTCTGGGTTTTTATTCCCCAGATACCTGCTGAACATTTAAAGGCGGCTTTCGCTGTAATCTTAGACCTGTGCTGCATATAAAAACTCAGAGGGGTGGTTTATCCTCCTGATAATGTCGGAGCTAAATGTTAAAAAGCAAAAAAAACATGCCGAAGATTTAAGGAACAATATTCCTGTGAAAGGTTGAGGTGCTCCGTTTATCTGACAGGATCCTCCCTGCATGTTGAACTTTGAATGTATTCAGTTTCTGTTCTTTGACTTTCATTCCTTCGTCCCCCCCTCCCACCACGTCCCCAGCTTTCCAAAACCAGAACTGGTTTCTAACAACATTTCATCATCATCATTATGCACCATGAAGTCAATGGTCCGTCCTTCATTCCCGTCCCCCTCTTCTCCCTCTCTTCCTTCCCTAACAGCTGCACCAGTACCAACAGGCTTTTGTCCAGCAGCAGCAGCACCACCATCATCATCATCAGCAGCAGCAGCTTCCCGCTCAGCAGCCTCTTCCCTATATGTCTTCCCCTCTTGAGTTCCAGATCCCTCTGGCTTCTCTAAACGCCACCACGCCCACTGCTGGATCCGGAGCTGCACTTGGACCTGGATCTGGACCATCCCCTGTTGAAACCTCATACACTAACCCCAGGTAACCCTCAGATATCTGTAGACTGGAAATGAAGCAATAGAGCTCTTCCTAATTAAGGATTATAGACACTAAAAGAACAAATCTCTAGTTATCTTCAGTCTAATGAAAAATCCTCTCTTTTAGGATCAATACAATTGAAAGAATCCTTTGAGCAAAGAAGGAGTCTTAAAGCACAATCTGTGCTTTTTTAGAGGAGGATGTATAACATCCTGGTCTGCAGAGTATTGAGGAACTTTCTATAGAGTAACGTGGAAATTAAAAATGCTTGATTAGAGAAATGTGAGATGGAGATCCTTGATTCAGATTCCTTTAAGATGGAGG